GGGCAAAATGGTCAGTAAATCAAAAAAACCCCACCAACATCTAGAAAGAAATTAACAAGGAGCACAAATAGATACATAGAAGATCAAGAAAGTATGCCAGTAGCTCCAAAGAACACCAGATAGATGATGCCTGCGCATTTGAGTAAATAAATAAATAAATACAACTATATTTTCTTCCTTATCACGTTGAAAATCATGCAGTGTGAAATAAATAGGTAAAAAGATAAGATATACATTACTCAAATATTTAATTGATTATGAATAAAACTTTAAATTTAAAAGCTAAAGAGATATTGATAAAAACATGGATTGAAAGATAATTACCACTGATTCCAATGATTATCTATTTAATTGGTGTTTTTTCTTCCGGTCATGCACAAAAAAAAAACAGAGACCATATGAAAAAAGTTGTATTTATTCATCAATTAGCATACACATAAAATCAAGTGAAATTATGTGCAGAGAATCAATAAATCTTGAATGAAGAGATGAAAATCGGTATTCTTGTTCACTAAATTTGAGTATGTATCTCTACTCTTATTGTAGACTTGTAGTGTATGTTATTAATTTAATCATATGTTTAATTCAAAATTTTCGTTTTTTAACCGTTGAGGTCTGTGCTCAGCCTCAGAATTTCACATTGAAGTTGGTTAATATTTAATTTTTGAAAACTAACATAAAAGTTGAACAGAGTGAGAAGTTGTGAACGACATAGACCATTGCAAATAACAAGCAAAGCCATCTCTAGTCTCGCTGTAGCCTTCCAAATATCCCCTGAAATTATATATCATTAATTCTTTCCGATCTTTGGCAGTCACATTCAAAGGTAACTTCCAGATGAGAACATAAAATTTCTTTTTATTTAAGTAGAATTGAGACAATGGATATCACAGGAATATTTGAAACTTATTGAATACGAAATCAATATAAGATTCAAGATCCTTCTGCATTCCTTGTATTCACGCTTAGGACACAGTTTATAACACAAGACGAGTACTAGGAGAGTAGATGAACAGAGACGATGAATCTGTCTTCCGTTATCAGTCTTTCGTCTCGGTCTCTCCCTATTTTTTCATTATCATGTATAATATGGGTAGGATTAAAGATAGATGAAATATTTGGCGGAAAAAGTCCTGCCTTCCGGTAAAAGTCCCGCCACGGGTTTTTATGAGATTTGCGTAAAAGTCTGTGAGTTAGTCAACCCCTAAAATATTGACATATTAAGTATAACTCATTTGTAAATTTTCATAGTTTTTCTTATTTTATTTTATTTTATTAAATATTAATTAATTGTTTATAATTTCATAATAGGTATTAGGCTTAGATTATCCCATATATCCCTTAATATATATAATAAACAACGCTAAAGTTAATATTTAT